ACCAGATGAGATCACCAAGGAAATGCAAATAGATAGAAAAGAGAAGACCAAAGCCTAAGCCCTGGGGCCCTCCAATGTTAAAAGGTTGAAAGATGAGGCAGAACCAGCAAAGGACAATGAAAAAGAAATAATGAGATATAAAGAGAAACAAGATTAGTAAGTATGCATCATGTGCCAGACACCATGCTCCAGACAAAGGATACAAAGACAAATACGACCCTTTCCTCACCATCCTCATGCTCTAATGCAGGAGTCAGGTACTACACCTTGAAATACCATTGTGATCGGTTCAGGGATGGGTGTAAAATGTCAGGGACAGTGAGACCACAACCTTGTTACTTCTGTGAATGATTTACACACACACACACACACACACACACAGAGTCAGCCATACTTGCCTCTTCTGAGTGATTGTTTTTGTCTTCTTTTGTCTCTAACAGGCAATTGGTTACCAAACCTTGGAGAATCTACCTTTGTAATATTTCTTATATGTGACACCTGTCCATTTTCTCAGCCACCAGTCTAGATGAAGCCATCATTAAAGATCACGTGCAGTGTTGCAGAAGCTCCTAAACATCCTCGTTCCCTCCCTTTAGCCCTCTAATCCTACTTTTTTCATTACTCTTCCTTGCAGTTAACTCTCCTGAGCAAAAGTCTCACCACAGCCCAAGTACCTAAATCCATTTTTGAAGGTGCTCCACAAACCGATAGTACCCTGCGCCCCAGCAGTGTCTTCACTCTTCCCAGTGTTCTCTGTTTCCTGGACACGCCACATCCATGCTTGATATCACACTTTAGCCTATGACACAGTCTCCCACCTGGAATGCCTGTCTCTATTCCAAAGTGTTCATATCCCATTTCCTTCACAAAGCTTTTCCCCTGCTGTAGCCTGCATGGTTGTCGATGTCTCCGAATTGCTGGATCACTTGGCGTCTCTGACACTCATTTTTATATGTAGGTATATGATGGCATGAGTAGTCACTAAAATACATTCATATTCACTAATTCATTCAGCTTCATTTAAGTGTGCCTCCTCCTTTTAAGGATAAGCAACTTTCAGTGCAAGGCATGATACTATTGTAATAAATAGATTCTAAATGAATAGTAGATGTTAGATTTTTTTAAAGGTGAGTAAATATGTAAAGTATAAAACTGTAATAAAACATTTTGTTGTATACAAGTTCTACCAAGCTCCAGGAATATAGTCATGAAAATAATTCAAATAAAGTATTTATTCTTTTAATAAATACTGTTTTATGTGCCAGCAATGTGCAAGACACTAATTATTCAAAAATAAGTCTTAATTCCAAGCCTCAAGAAACCTATAATCTAATGGGAAAGACACATAAATCCTTATAATATAATCTGACACCTGTAGATGTAGATATATCTATGGGTACACGGAAGAGAAGGCTTCATGGAGGAGGTGATACATGTGGTGATTCTCAGAGGATGAGTAGTTCGATACAGTGGAAATTGAATAGGAGGAGGAACAGCATAGGCACAGGGCACAGCAGTGGAAGTGAGACGCATGGTGTGTGGGGATGGGGAGGCCAGATGATGGAGAGCCATGTATGTCCTGTTAAGGAACTTGAATTTTACCCTGTGGGTGATGCCAGCGATGTCCGTATAGAAAACCCTTGGAAGGATTTTATGTTTAGAAAGAGCATGATCAGATTTGCATGTTTGAACACTTGGGCAGCCTAAAAGATGGATTTGAGAGGGACCAGAGTTGGATGCAAAGAGACAAGTTATGCGCCATTACAGTAGACCAGGTAAGAGATGCTGAGGGCTTGGATTAAGTGAAGGCAGTAAGAGTTGGATGGGGAAAAGGAGATAAAGTCAAGCATCACTATGGGACAAAATTCACAGGATGCAGTGATACAGTCACTGTGGCAGCCTAGGGGAGGGTGTGGGAAGAGCCAAAGATGGCCCTTACTTCTGACCTGGAAGATTGGGTGAGCAGTGGGCCACCCCCTGCAGCACAGACAGGGGAAGACGGCTTGATTTATGGTGGAAATGATGAGTTCAGTTTGAGCCATATGGAGTTTGAAATGCCTCCGGCATTCCATTCAAAGTAATCCCCTTAAATGGTCATTGAGTGACTCAAATAGTGCTACTGTTCTTGGAACTTTTCAGAGACTTCTCAAAAAACCATGACCAAAGACATTTTATCAGCCACATAAACCAGTCATGCATTTTATAGACATAACTCTCTTTTTGGAAAAAAGAAGAAAAGAGAGAGAGAGAAAGGAAGGGAGGGAAGAAGGGAAGGTCACTGCCTTGGGGTGTACATTAGTATCTATTTTTCATAAAGGAAAAATTTGGTATTTTTCAAATCTAAAGCAGCTCCCTATTCACTAGACTTAAGTCATAATGAATTTTGGCTGTTTCCAAAATCAAACCATCCCTTAATGATGTAATCCTAATTCCATAGGGCTATGGAGGAGAACATGCCTCTGACCTGAGGAATTCCCAAAAGCACAGTTGCAGAAGTAACAGCAGTGTGTTTGAAACTAAAGTGTAGCCTCCAATGTCACTATTCTCCAATGACTACATGTGGCCAGATGTGTTTGTTCTGATGTGATGATTAAGAAGTCTGTTTATATTTCTCTGTTCCAGAAACTCCTCCAAGAAAAAGGTCTTTTTCTTCCCTCCTGAGAGAGCCACAAGAGTGTGTCTTTATTGTATTATCTCTGTTTGTTTGTTTTGTTTTGTTTTCCCCCCAAAAAACCTGGGACCAAACTAAGTTTTATGATTTGTCTTACAAGACTGACTTGCAGACCCTGGGCCCAAGTCTCTGTTCACACAGCTCTGGGCAGGAAGACAGGAGGCAAAAATATGAGAACTATAAAGACTCTATAGATAAAGTCACTGAATCTACTAGCAAGATAGCCAGTCCTGAAAAGGACTGTGTTGTAACAATATCAAAAGTTCATCCACTCAAAACCAAATTCCCCAGGCAATATGCCACAGTAAACCCAGTGTGTAGGGTGGGAGGGCAAGAACAGTCTGCCACTGCTGGGAATGCTTGCCCTCCAATTCTAAGGAGGAAATCAAAGGCCAGCAGGGACTGGTTACAACCAAAATGAAAAACAAGATTTAGGCAACACAGAAAATAGATGTATTGTGACTGAAGAATTGTCTTAGCCCTTTGCATGGGGGCATGAAACCGACTCCAGTATGGTTATTTCATGAACCCAATGAGCAGATTGGGTCTCTACCCAACTTCTGACCCACTCAAATAACATGTACTCCCTTTTGTACAGTAAGAAATGGCATAGAATTACCTGGGCGCTCCTACCCCCAGCTTCAAAAGCATATGTAGCAAAATGAGCTCTCTCTGACTTTCTGCATCAGGTCAGTTCCTTACTTAGTGTTTGCCAACCATGATACACTGCAATTATTCCCAGCAGTTACCAAGGGCATGACAAGAGAAAAGGCTCTTGCAGCTGTGGGCTTACCTCCTCCCCAGGCAGCCAAGCCCTCCCTTCACTTCAGGCTGGGGCTGACTGGCCTAGGAGGTACTATGAGGGGTCAGTAGGAGGCAGTAGTTAGTGTCTCCGTGTCCCCATGTGACAGTAAAGAATGCTGAGATGTTAATCAGCACCAGCTTGACAATGCAACTCCCTTTTAGACCACTTGTATAAAACCCTGCAGGATCTTCTGTCACTTCATAGGAGGAAGAACTTTATATCAGACAAGATGACTACTTCTTAGCTGATGAATAAAGCAGTCACATTTCTTTAAATATTAAATTCTAGTGCATTATTACCAAGCACCTTCCCTGGTCCCCAGAGTGAAAATATGAAGAATGCATAATCAGACTCTGCTGACTAGACTTCTGCCCTTATTGGGGTCCAGTCCAGTTCTCCGTGACTGGTCCTGGAGCTGCTAACTCATTGGACAGCCTGAGTCCTCTCTGCTCTGCTCTCTCCAGCACTGTGTAAGGGCACTTTGGGAGGCAGTATGATTTAGTGGTCAAAATCATGGACTTTGAAGTCAGGCAACTCCCAGCTTCACCTCTTGCCCTCTGTAGGACCTTTTTCATGTACCTTAACATCTTTAAGCCTCCCTCCCGTCATGTGTTAAATGGAAATAAAAATTTATTTATCTTGTGGAGTATTTTGAATATTAACTGAGATGATGTACTTAGCACAATGGTCGGAATAGAGTAACACTCAATAAGTATCAGCAATTATTATTAGCAACAGTCTACAGCAGTGGGGAGAGACACTGGTTCCTCCTTCTGTACAAGGTCAGAGGCAGCCAGGAGTAGGTAGGTGCTAAATGGCAAGTTTGCCAAACTAAACTATGAGGCTTCTAGGCTGAACTGGAAGGCAATGGGAGGGCAGTGCATTAGAGTTTATGCCAACCTGTAGAACAACTTTCACTTTCAGGTGGTTTTCCAGAAGATGACCATTATTTCCTCATGTTATGATTTTCTGTGCCTAAGTGATGAATTGGTTGATGCCTAGGATTTAAACAACCCTCTTTGTTGAGTAGAAATTCTATTACTGTGATTTCGTAAGAAATTAATATAACCTTTAATTTTGCCTCCTTTTGCCCTTCTTTCCACCAGATACTGCCTTCCAAGTACATCGAATTTCAACCATTGTTTCTTCCCAAAAAACAAATCTTACACTCATATTTCCAAGAAAGTGGTTCTTGTAATGGAATTCCTCTAAATTGCTGACTACTATCATTTAACTAGTTGATGTCTCTTTGTGGTCTCACAACTGCCTCTTTGAGCTTCCTGTTCTCAACTGGGTCAGCCATGGTTGTGTTTAACTTGTTTTGGCATGGCTTTGTTATTTTTATTTTGGTTTGTTCTCGTTTAATCCTGAAACAGCACAGCATAGAACTTTTTGACCTGAATTCCCCTGTGAACTTCTCATTTTGCCCAAGTTGACTATGTTAGTAAGCAGTGAGCACCTCTCCAGCTTTTGAAAAATTCATTCAGCCTCTTCTTTTCTTGTGCATGTCTTCTGCTTTGCCAGGTCAAGCTGGGAACTGCCTGACTTGAGGGAAGGGAGAGTAAAAGCCATCAGTGACTCAGATGGGGTGAGCTACCCTTGGTACGGGAACACCACAGAAACTGTGACCCTGGTTGGCCCCACCAACAAGATCTCCAGGTTCTCCGTCAGCATGAATGACAACTTCTACCCCAGTGTGACATGGGCAGTGCCTGTGAGCGACAGCAATGTGCCGCTGCTCACAAGAATCAAGAGAGACCAAAGTTTCACGACCTGGCTGGTGGCCATGAACACTACCACAAAGGAGAAGATCATTCTGCAGACCATCAAGTGGAGGATGAGGGTGGACATTGAGGTGGACCCTCTTCAGCTCTTGGGGCAGCGGGCCCGGCTGGTGGGCAGGACTCAGCAGGAGCAGCCCCGGATCCTGAGCCGGATGGAACCCATCCCCCCTAACGCACTAGTGAAACCCAATGCCAATGATGCCCAGGTCCTCATGTGGAGGCCCAAGCGGGGGCCACCTCTGGTTGTGATCCCTCCTAAGTAGAAGCAGACTGGCCTGATTGTGTGTGGATCACATGCCTCTGAGACATGCAGTGAGGGTGCCAGGGGTGGCAGGAGCCAAACTGAGTTTCTGAGCCAAAGCAGACCTCTTGGTTTGCCAGCCTTTGCAGCCACTTTTGAAGAGTAGGGCTGCTCCTTGGGTGGTAGAACCATAATCCTTAGGAAAAATCCCTTCCTCTTAGGAATAAAAAAATCACTGATTTGACAGACTTGCTGTGATTACCATGCAAGTAGCCATATTTTGGAGCTGACCAGGATGATTCTTTTATCTGAACTATTGACCATTTCTTTCCTGTGAGATGCAGGGGATGGAAACAAAATTAAACAGTGCCTGTGGCAAATGCTCCTTCCCAACCAATAAGAAGTAGGAGTGAAAACATCCACACCAGGTGGTCATAAGGCAGACTCCTGCAGTCTGACTGGAGGGTGCTGGGGAAAAGGGTGGTGAAAGAATGGGTGATGGGGAGAGGAAGAATAAGGTTTTATTACACATTAATACCTCTGCATTTATTACTTGATCATCAGATCGACACACACTGGAATGAATGAACACTTAGAAAACTAGACAAATATTGATATTTGCTCCTTTCTGAGGGAGAAAGACTCCTTGGAACTGTCCAAGGTGCTGATGTGAACTAACGGAAACACTTCATTAGTTCCATCTACCCACCTCTTTCCAAAAAGATTGCTTATTCGGAGTATTTTTAATCACAGTATTTGGCTTTGTAATTCCTGTATTCTGCAGTAGTTAGGATATTTGGGGCTCTGTCCATGTTTTAGTGAAATCCTAACTGTGATGTTGTTTACAGCTGCTTATTCTGTTCCCATGATTAGCCCTAAATTTATATTTAAAAAATTATAAGCCATGAATCCATGTAAGATTTCAAGAACATTTCAGCAAATAAGAACAGTATTTTCATTCTATTTCTTTTGAGTTTTTGAATGATCTGAACACATAGAATGGACACATGTATGCACAGACACATGCACACATGCACACATGAAGGATGCATATAGCATAATTACTAGCATATTTGCCACCAGTGCCTACATATCTACCTGTAGCCTTTGTATGTACATACACTGTATGTTTATATATATATTTATTTTAGCTCTGTTTCACAGAAGCTCAAACTTGAGCATTTGTGAGAAACTATTTCTTAAGGCTTAACTTTAGAGCCCTTTAAAGAAAATCTAAGCTACTCATATTAAGTAAGCCTGTATTGCTAAGATTTAACCAGTAAAGATGAGAGGCCAGGTTTACTTTAATCAGGCCAATATAAAACTTGTTTTTGAGGGTTTCCAGTCTTTGCAGTGAGGATTTTTGCAGTTCTAGCTTGAATCACCCTTCCTCCCCTCCCCCACTCCAAAAAAAGAACTTTTCCCTTTATTCTCAGTAATTCAACCATATATATGGTTGTATATATATTTGCTTGTTCACCACCCCCTCCATGCAAACTAATTATAAAATTTTCACATTGTCATTGTAGATTTAATAAGTAGACACTGCTAACTTAATTTCAGAGGGAGAAAGTTGAAGTTCAAGGCAGTTTTACAATCTCGTGATTGGCTCCAAAGAGCTGTCTTCTACTAGAGTTTGTGGATAGAGAATAAAAAGCAGGAGGGTTTATTACTTTTATTAAAAATTCAATTTAGTGTAATTTATTTCAGATTCTAGTCCCAGGGGATGGTACTTATTTACGTAAGAGTGCTAACAGATCTGCTCCAAATTATGTAGTGTTAACCTCACACCCCAGCCATCAACTATTCTGTTATAGATTAGTTATTGATGGCAAGTTATTTATAACAGCACGTTAATAATACATCAGTGGCTCGCAGAGGACCTGGAGACATTCATTTAGAAATAATTCAGCTGTTACATTTGAAATTCTCTGTCCCTTCCCATGTTTCCTTGTTTTATTGGGAAAGGCAGCCCCCAAGAGCTCCATGGCTAAAACACAAAGCAGCTTATTTTCCATGCTGACACCACAGGCCGCAATCTCTCCCCCAGACTGAATTAGACTCTACCCCTGTGGGATTCTGGGGAGTGGATACTGATCCTAGAATCTAATCCGTGTGGCCCAACTTGACGAAAACCTGATATTTTAAACTCCAAAGTTGTAACAACAGATTAATGAGAATTTACATTACAAAATGCTATGGAAGAGTTATGTTTTCAAATTCCCCTAGTGCATTAAAATACTATATGACTTACACAACTATATTTACAAATAACTTTTTCAGAAGCATATCTGTATTTCTAAAGCAAGGTGTAGCATGTTTAGCTAGACTTGTTTCCTGTGAAAAATCACACTTTTTCAGAGTTTTAAATGAACCCCACAGCAGTTTTCTGGGAAATTGTGTAATGACAAAATGAAAAAAAAATGGGAAAGTGCTTATGAAAGTTAAAAGCATCATATACATTGTGATTATTGTTATTGATACCATTGTGAACTCTACAGTTGTGTCTCTCAGCTCTGAAGTCAGCCTGGCAGAACGCTCTATTACCCTGTGGCCAATTATTTTCAAGTTACTGTTGTTTTACAAGGAAATGACCCCTTTTCTTCCTGTGATTTGTAGGTCATTATCTTTCAGCTTAGTCAGGATATTGCCAAATGAAAGTCTGTCATACAAGAGAGAATTAACCTTGAAATCTCTGTTGAGGTCACCTCTGCCCTCCCATCCAGTCCTCCTTCCCCTCAAAGTGCCTGGGCCTGACGCCAGATGCCATCAGTTTAAAGGGGCTCATTTAGTGCCTTAAGTTTTAGTTGGGTGGTCTCAGGACTTAGACACACACAACACATGGCTTCTTGGTGGCAAAAGAGTTTTGAATTCCATAGGAAAAATTATTTCATCAGGTCTTAAGTTTTCTTAATCAAGTCCTTTGAGATCTTTTAGTCCATGATCTCGAAGGAAATTGAGGCCTCATTAAATTAGGTCATCTATTCAGAATCGTATACCTAGCCAGCTGAAGAGCCAAAAGAAGGCCCCATCTCCCAAATTTCATCTGACAACATGGTCACACTTAGCGAGGACCCACAGCCTCTTGTCTGCAACCAAAACATTATCATCATCCCTAATCCATTCACCCACAAATCAATGAGTCTAAAAACTAGAGACAATTGGATCCATCCTTTAAAGAACAAGAGAAAATCCCTGTTACTATTATGTAAAAGAAAATTTGAATGTTGCAGATTCCCTTTATCTGTGACGGCTGTTTTGAGGTTGAACCCTTAATCTGGGCCCTTCACTGCATGCACTTGACATTCCTCGGTCATTGCTGTAGCCCACATACCTAGCCAGAAGAAGAGCCAAGCACATCTCCTGAATCTCATCTCACATGAGATGGGGGCACATGAGAAAGTTGGAGGCTAGTCCCCTACCCACCTCCCATTCCATGGACCTTTGTGCAACTCCCTCTCTCCTGGTGCTGGAATGACATCTCGTAGGTCAGAATCATGTGCTAAGCAGCAATTCTGATCAGTAAAATAAAAGAACTATGATTTATGGAGTGTTTTTACAGAAGTCTTCCACATGCATTTTCTCATCCCCAGTTTTATGAGTGTGATACTCTAGTATTATTATCCCCATTTTCAGATAATAAATTGAGACCAAAGAGGTTAAGTGACATATCCATGAGTACACAAACAAAATGTCAGGAGCCAGGATTCAAATGGGGCCTTTTGGCTCCAACTTCCATGCCCTTCCATTATCCTTTTCTGCTTCTCCTGTTCATCCCTGCCTAGAGGGCACAAAAGAAAAGGAAGGAAAGGAGAAAGCTGGTCACTTTCATCTATACAGTCATGTAGTCTCTTCCAATCTATTAAATAGATATGCTAAACATATGAGAACAAACACTGCTTTCTTATGTAAAGAAACCCTTTGGGAGGTTATCCCAGAAAATAATGCCTGACAGGGGCTGCAGTGTGGGTGAGCTAGCTGTCACTCAGCAGCTCTTAGCAGAGTACTGGTAATTGGAGTAGGAAATCTGCTCTCCTGGTCTCAGAATCCCTTAAGCACCACAAGGCCAAAAAGGGGAAGGAAAGCATGCATCCTGCAACTAGGTCCCAGCTGAACAAGGCCCTGCCACCCGCCGTCCCTCAACATGGCTGGAGCAGCCTTTGGGGTGTGAGCAGTGGAAACAATGGCTTTCCAAGCCCTCGTTGGCACATTGAACATGCTTGTTAGAACTGAGGGCACAATTAAACATTGCAAGAGCCAGCTCCCAACTGAGTTGCAAGGAAAGATGTAAACACACACACAGACCCACCACACTCACATACTCTTCAAACTGAAAAGAAAATTAATCAAAAACCCAATGAATGCCTGAACTCTATAATTAAGTCTAAATGATCTTTAGATAGAAAGGGAGCTGAGTGAGTAAGCTCTGTGCACACAGATATTTTTACCCCAGAGTCTTACTGCCATTAATTTCTTTTGAGATCTTGAGTACATCTGGTTCCAGTTTCCCTGGTAGGACATCTGCCTATGGAAGACCATCAGAAGAGTTGCCAGTTCAGTGGCCAGAGGACAGTCAAGGTTATTTGGTCATTCCAAACACTTTCACAGGAAGGCAACATCCCCATCCCCCACCCAGGTCAGCGGTGCACCTGCCCATGACAGAGCCCATCACCAACCTTAGGGTCCTAAAATTCCCTTTATGTATAAGTGCTTTATGGTTTTTTATAAAGAGTTTTTCATTCCTTTGTGTAGAATGAAAGGCATCTCTGTTCTAGATGGAAAGTCAGTATTGGCCTGATCTGTCTTTGTTATTAATAGTAACAACACTCCCATCTGATTAGTATGTTACAGTTTACATAGTACAGCACAAATATTTTGCCATTTTATCCTCAACAATCCTGTAATATTTTGGCATTATGTCACCACTTTATAATGAAAAATTTGAAGCAGAAAGCTCAAGTGACTTGTCCAAGGTCACACTAATTTAGTGGTGCCCTAAGAACTTGAGCCCTCTACACACAGATATTTTTACCCCAGACCTTTACTCCATTCTCACAGAACATTCTCTCCCTGGTTAAATGCAGGCACCCTCCTCCGCTTGTCCAGCCACTACTGTTCCTCAGGCAGGGCTGACTAGGAAAGAGTTCCCTAATTGATCTCTTGTAATTTAACCAGACAGAATAAGCTCTACTGAGGAGTCAGGGTTCAGGTGGCCCAGGCTGTGCCTTCAAGTGGTTTCTCTCCTATCCCACATTAGAAGGGAGGCCTACTTGGGTGCTCTGAGGTGCTCTGAGGTAGGAGGCCAGAACCTGGGACATCAGCATGACTTGAGATCTTGGAGGTCCTGCTGGTAGCTGAACTTGAACAAATCATTTAACTTTTCTGAGCCTTGGCTTCCTTCTCTGTTAACTGAGATATTAATACAGCCCACCCAACATCACAATCAGAAAGACAAAGTGGGACAATGTCTGAAAATACTCCAAATTGCCTGATGTGCTGCCTCATGTAAGATACTAAGACTTGAGTAGAATCACAGGGCCTGAAACTGATGGCAGGCCCTCTGGCCTCATCTACTTGGAAGCCCAAAACCATCTCAGGAGAACCCGCTCTTCCTGCCAAGTGAGGCCTGGACCCTGCGGAGAGTGGGCCCCGTTTCCCCCAGCCACCTTGCTTGTTCAGGGAGGCCTGAACCCTGGTGGTCAAGGAAAGAAAGATTTTTGCATAGCACTCCGGGAAGCAGCTCTAGAAAGAATGTGTAGCTGGAACTCCAAGAGGCCTTTTGGAAAGGAAAGGAGGCTGGAATGTCAAATCTAGGCCAGACTTGAAATCCCAGCCCAATTTGCATAGTTTAAACCTAGAGAAGCCAGCCAGGAACAGCTGCATTCTTCCGGTTATGGGCTCAGACAAGAGATAGAGGAAAATATATGTATATATTCAAAGTTTTATGTGGGTCTCTACACAGTTTTTGATGTCCCAGATCTTGGCTGGGCCCCCACAGTTTAACGGTGTTGTTTCACATTTGGCCATGTGGGTGCAAATAAAATGAAGAAATACTTCTTTGTATCCTATAGTCCCCAGGCTGTCTCACCACACTGGAGGCATATATGATGATGACCTCTGTCTCTCTGCACCTGCCCAAGGCAGCCCCATTCCCCATGGCCCCACATGGACCAGCCACACTGCCTCAGGGCTGCTTCCCAAGGGCTCCCTGTCCTAATACCCCAAACTGTGCCTCTCCCAGCTGGGCCTAGGAATGGCCCCCAAGAGAACCTAACCAACTCTTCTTCCCAGGACAAATGTGAAGCCAGGCCTCTGGGCAGCAGGCCATGTGGCCAAGCATAGGAGCCCCTCCTCTGCCTCCAGGCCCACATTTGTCCTTGGCTAACCCAGAAAACAGGTTGATCTTCAAAACAGCTGAGTGCTGGGTCAGAAATGCCCGGGAGAAGGGAAAACATTAGAATTACAGCAATGATGGGAGAGGCCAGAGACACAGAGCACAACCCAGTGCCACACGGACCTCACTGGGGACTGTGAGAAATACAGCCAGTGCCATGAAGTATTTGGATAGTGAGATCGCTGAGCCTAGGGCTGTTCTCAGGCTGGCTGAGGGCCAGTATTACTAGGAACAGAGAGGAAATATAAAGGAGGAGAGATTGTTTGCTTCATGCCAGTCCTGGGACTGGGTGAGCCAAGCAGGCACTAGGATCCAGGATATTTTTATTTTATTATTATTTTTTCACAGAGCTGGAGTCTTGCTATATTGCCCAGGCTGGTCTCATAAGATCCTGTATTTAAGAAGGCACTCTCAGGCCGTGCCCAGGCCTGAGAGTAAGACCCTTCCTAAATACTGGGTCCTGCACTCACCTGCCCCTGTGCAAGCAAGCCTCATTCAGTGTTTACCCTAGGCACCTGGCTTACCTCCCCCAGTCCCAGCCCTGCTTCATGCCCACCTCCAACTCACTGCTCTCTTCACAAGAAGATCGAGCAGAAAGGATGTTGTGGGATCCCTCTGAATACTTGTTCTGTCAACAAGTCTGTAGTGAGTGTCTCCTATGTGTCAGGCTAAACAGAGTCCTGTCCTCAGGGAGACAATGCCAACAGGAAGCTTTGGGAGCCACTTATTTTCCCCCTTGGGCTCACCCATCAGAGGGGAGCCCAGAACCTACAGAAATGCCTGCTTAGTTCTCTCTATCCAGTGCATCAGCCAGTGTGCCTGTGAGGAGATGTTGCCTTCCTGGCCCAGGGGCTCCATGAGGATGGGTGAGGTTGACAGGGCAGGACTTCTGTCGAGCACTTAGAGCTCTTCCAAGGAAAGGCCCTGGGAAAAACCTACAGCCACGTCAGTACGTGCACAGACACTGGGGATGAAAGAAACAGCTGGTTATCTCTCCATCTGCTCTTGTCCCTTCACCCCACCCTTCAAACCAATTAGAATATTCCACACAGACGTGATCCAATGAAATGTTAATTGGAAAAATAACAGGAAAGATAATACATGCACTTCAGGCTGAGAACTATTTCATTAAACTGGGCTTTGAAAGCAAGACAGCCAATTAAATTATTTCCCACTTCACTCCCTCACGTACCAGAAACTATGGAAAGCTATTACTTCTAATTAATTAGGAAAGAAAGAAAGACTCTGCACATGCATATCAGATGAGCAGGGACTGAGAGGCTGCCCCACCCACCTCTTTGAGAAGGCACACGCACACGCATCAGGGAACTAAAGACTCATCTGTCTCACCTAAAAAATTTCCTAAGTCTTCTGAAATAGCAAGAAAGCATCTGTTCCCAGGAGCCACTCACAAAATCAAACAAAGGAAAACGCCTTCTTCAGGCACGTTCATCAGAAGGGAAATAGGGCATTTATTGTGAAAGAATAAGCAGCTTTAAACTCAGTTGGATTCCAAAGCTTCTGCAGCTTGACCTGATCCTGTCTTTTTCTCTTCAGTAGAATTAGATCTCTCCAAGCCCGCTCTCTGTATCAAACACAGTGTTCATTGGCACAGGGTGGTGTCAGGGACCAGGAGACCTGAGACCCCGAGGCCTGATTTTGGCTTGATGGTGGTCTGATGCAGGCCATCTTTGGGATCTTCGCTTTTCCGTCTGTGAAATGGGAAGAAGGCCAATCTCAGTGCCATATTCACCCTCAAAGTTTTTAGGCTTGTGAGAGCACATTTGACAGAGAGCCCTGAGCCTCTGTGCCTTGCCTTAGAGAAAACTGATAGAATCCAAACATGCATTTAAAATATTTTCTGCAGAAAAATTATCCTAACCCAGAGACACCCTTATTGTATAATAAGTATAACCGAAATAATATAGTGAAATAATGATGACATAAAGCAGTCATTGTGGTGATGTGACTGGCACACAGGCATCTCTCCAGTATGGTTCAGGAGAAATAGGCAGACTCAGGGTGTCTCAAGGCCTCTGCACACGTGCAGCCACATTGTGCCCTACTCATTCCCCTCTGTTCCTGTTGTGTCTGTCATTCTGTGTCACACAAGGTATTGAGAGCTGTCAAAGCCTAGCACAGTCAGTGCCTCTGACCAATTCTAACCAATCTCATTGCAGGAAGGGGAAGTGGCACCAAAGAGCATGGCAGCTGTTCCACAGCACAGGGAATACAGAGGAACACTTTCTAGAATGGCTTCTAGGCTGTTAAGTCCCCAATTATATATGCAATGGCGTTGTCTACTGACTTCAAACAATTGGAACAAGTTTTTTTTAACCATCTATGTAAGAATTTGAAATTTGGTTTTTTTCTAAAATTGAAACCATGCATACAATCTGAAAAGGCAACATGTTAATTAATTTATAATCATAAAAAATTGTCTCATTATAGCAGTACATCCCTGTAAGCAAACCGAGCATGTCAAAAATTCAAAGATACCAAACAGAAGAATGATCAAGAAAAAAAAGAGAAGGATGCCTGATGCTTGGCTTTACGCTAGAGCAACTCTCTTCATATATTCAAGACTGCTTTTTTCTGATTTTAAAACTTTAGTTCACCCACTTTGTTATGACCACAACTATTACATGACAACTTCGGGTTGAATAACTGAATAACTTCAGTTTTCTCTAATGTTGCATATTCAAGAAGTAAGTTTTATCTCTTACTTATCTCTTTACCAGTGATTTGGACTCTGGAATAAAACTAAGTTTAGCTCAGTCATGGTGTGACCCCCTTGCACAGGAATATTGGGTAAGCTACAGCTCTGGTCACTCAATGATTCTTGCAAGTCCCTTTGTGCTTTGGATGCTAAAAAACAATGCCATGGGGGATCTCAACTTCCCCCCCATTTCCGTGGATTGCTTAGCAGTGCCTTGCTAACAGGTTATACATATAAATGACCTGTAATCCTTTAATATTATTTTATTTTTAATCTTTTTAAAATAACCATATGAAAGTTATAGATTCTCTTTATAGAGAAGTGCATATGAAAATAAATAACAAAAGTGTTGCATAAAATTTCAGGGTCATCTCCCCTTGAAATCTATTAATGGAGCCCAGATCATGACCATCTGCTTTTAGGGAATTAATTTGATCACTGTCTTAACGCCCACTTTATTTACATGTTTCCGTGTCCACATACAGGTCTCCTAGTAGGACAAGGAAAGCCCAGCAAACACAACCACATGGCAGAGACTGAGAAGGAGGAAGTGAGCAATGGCTGGCGGCTCCAGAAGCTGAATCCCTGGACAGCTGATTTCCCATTAAAACGTGTACCATCCTGCCTACCTCCTCGCCTTCCTCCCATCCCATGACCAGTCCCTCCTACCCACCCTCCACGAGCCATGCGGCACTTGCCCTGGGCTGACGGGGCTGCCTGCTTGGCCCATGGGGAGCTGTGTTGAAGTGGGAGTTGTGCCTGCTGTATCTTTTTGTGTGTGGAAAGATGGGGTTCATTCAGATCCCAAGTCCTTTCACCAACCCTCAAAGCGAAGCCTCTCGGAGATGAAAAGCTGGTCAGCCTGGGACTTTAAATACCTAACGTGGCCCAGCCTTGGTTCCCAAACCCTGCCTTCCCTCCTTTTGCTTTTGGGTGGGAAACGGGGGATTTGTATCTCCCTTCCTCCTCCCTCTCCATGTGGGTGACCTCTCTAGGTTTCTCTAAGTTCTCTGACCCTCGGAGAGCCAGGGCCAAGGCAGTCATCTTGTTCCCCCTTCCACGGCCAGGCTAGGTGCCTTCAGGTGACCAGGGGCAGAGTGTAAGTCACCAGGATCAGTGGGGTGAGGGGAAAACCACCTTAAGAGGGCAAAACTGGTGTGCATTGGTTTATTTATTGGTTTATTTATTGGCTTGCTTACTAATGTATTTATTTATATTTATTATACAACACAAAATCCATTTCCATTTTTTAAACATCAGCCCCAGAATTTGTCTTCCTGGGCCCATAGAGCACAGTGAATTATTTCTCTTTGAAGCTTCAGAATAGAGAGGGAAATTTTTCTCCCTACGCCCAAACACCTCCACCTCAGCCACGTTTTCAACCAGACATGGGATTAGAAATCACCAGCTAACAAGGCTGTAAAGTCACACAAATCAGCAGAGGCTTGACTGTCCAGACAGCTCTCAGAATCCGGCCTCCACCCCAACCACCTTGCACCAATCCTCTCATTCTCCTTTACTCGGGTGGGGATTGACCAGCCACCTTCAGCCTAACAGTGCAGAACAAAACTTCTCATTCTGCTTTGATGTAGTATTCTAACATCAGATGCACATTAGCATCATCTAAGGGCTTAAAAAATATCCAGGCCTGGTCCCCTGCCCAAACCAATTACAGCATGGAAGGGTAGATCCTGGGTATTGGAGTTTTGTAAGTTACCCAGATGACTCTAATGTGAAAATAGGGTTGGAAAGTTCTAGTATCACCTCTCCCTTGCCCCTCCCCACCCAGATTCTTTCTTCTTTACTTCCCAGGCTTTTTCTGGAGTCCTATTCCCGTTCCTCCAGCCCCTTCTCCTCACTGAACCTTCCCCCCATCAGCACAGCCAACGATAGCAGATCCCTGGAGAGGGGCAGGTCCCATAAGTGGTACTCTGAGGCTGGTTCCTGCATCTAGCCTGGGGGCTGCTCCCAAACAGTTTCCAGCTTTTCTAGGAGCAGAAACCTATCCCCTGCAAGATTCTTTGTTCACCGGCACCTTCTCCAGGTTCCCAAACTCCAAAAGTTTAAAGGGCACTTTGGCGACATTTCTGTCTCCAAGCCCCAATCTTGGTGGTGTGGCCCATGTAAGTCTTAAAACCCAAGCCTTGGCCATTTCTGCAGAGCCAACTGAGTTGAATGAGGGTCTACTGTTAATAGAGAAAGGGGTCACAGTGCTCCCCCAGCAAGTCCATTTTCCAGCAACCAACCTTCTCAGCTGTCTAGGATTTGGATGCACAACGCAGCAGCCACTGTGCATTCAAGTCCTAGATGGCTGAGAAGAGGCATCTCATCCTTCACATCTACAAGATCTCCACTGCTGAGTATGAGTAAATGTGTGTGTGTGTGTATACACGTACGTGTGCACACACTATCTGCATATAAACCATCTAGATATATAGAGATGCCAGACTTCACTTTACATGTGATTACATTTTACATGAAAACAATTGAGGGCTTCCGTTGTCTTTCACTTGATGGAGTTTCACTGTACTATGTTCATGACGGGCCCCAGTGAATTCCATTTCAGGTATATACACAGAATGTGTAATATATACAAACTGTTAGACACACTACACACACATAGAAAGCCTAGGGAAACCTGTGATGTGGGTAAGTTCATTTCGCCATCCCATCTCCTCCACCTAAGTAATTTCCTGGGGCAAGCATGGTTTCACACGCTCCCCTCAGCTGCCCAGCCATTCCCTCTCCAGCATCCCATACCACCAAGCCGCCTTTCCCCATCAGTCCAAATGTCCCTGCCCTCTGTCCCATCTCTCAGGGTCCTACTCTCTGATAGGTGACAGTTCAGTCAGTGGGTGCTAAAGAGTCGAGTGTTACCCTTCCCAGGTGACATTTATGTTTTAATAGGGGCTACAGATAATGCCTTAATCAGAAAGAGTGGCTGTAATGGTGGGAATTTCAGGCACAGAAGTGGGCCAGTAAGGGAGATTCTTTTATATCAGGAGGGCATTTTAGAGCCCCCAAGTCATACCTGTCTGTAAGTGCAGCCCTTCGTAAGTGCATGAGCACAAGCAAGCACACTATCTACGTTATACCCTCCATAATTTTGAGATACCTTCCTTGCATTGGCCCTATCTTTAAAAATGAAAAAAAAAAAAAAAAAAAAAAAAACAGGGAACTAGCTAAATTAATTTAGATCTCACTGGGAAACGTAGCCTATTTTTTCACCGGCTGCCAGCCATCTGGCCCACCCCACCCTGTTCAATTTCCCTTCTGCTCTTTCTCTTTTCAGCTACGACCGACTGTATCAGTTAATTTACTTCTACGTGTCCTCCCTGCTCTCTCCTTACCCTGCTCCCCTACACTATGTATTTCCTTCCTTTACCGTTTCCTCCTTGGAACTGTGCTGTGTTTCGTTGTCCTAGAGGACAGAAGAGCAGGTTAAGGCATGAGCATGTGTGTATCACTTTGAAGAAAGAGAAACCAGGTATTCTGCTACAGTTTGGAGAAAAACCCAGCGAAGGAAGAGATGAAAGCTGGCTCTGCAGAGTGCCTTAAAAATGACTTTAATTAGGAAATTCTGAGTTGTTGGTCTTCAGATGTTACATAAACTCAAACAGATGTTGCATTTCACTTCTCTGGGATTAAAAAAAAGTTAAATACAGTGTGTATTCAACAACAACAACAAAATATGTTTTCTCTTTAATTTGGTCCTCAAAGATGCAGTGCCTGGTTTTCTACAAAACCTGGGGATGGCCCCAGGAACAAGAAAGCTCTGGAACATACAGAGGGCAGATGCAGGAATCCTGCCCAGCTAGGAAAGCTCTGGCAGGCTAAGGCACAATTCCGCCACTAAATTTGGTCCAAAAGACAATTCTAAGATGAGGAAAAGCATGGACAACTGTAAGGGAAAGAAAGGGATCCTCGCCTTTCTCCCTAATGACACGCTTTGGGCTTAGTCTTTTGGGGCTGCTATAACCAAATATCGTAAGTTGGGTGGCCTATAAACAACAGAAAGGTATTTCTCACTGTTCTGGAAGCTGGGAAGTCCATCATCAAGACTCTGGCAGATTCGATGACTGGTGAAGCCCTGCTTTCTGGTTCATACTTGGCACCTTCCAGCTGTGCCCTCACATGGTACAAAGGACAAATGAGCTTCCTTGTGCCTCTCTTACAAGAGCTCTGTCCTCATGACCTCATCACCTCCCAAAAGCCCCCCCCCCCAATACTATCACCACGGAGGTTAGGATTTCAAATTACAAATTTGTGGGGGATACAGATATTGGAACATAGCACTCTTTTCATCTATGATTCAGTGCTGTGAAATTGGGAGAAAGAGAACATTCTAGAACCAGAGGATAAAGTTTGCCCATCCATCTCTTTCCTACTACCATTTCTTCGTGGAACACCCGTGACCAGATTCGGCTTTGCTGTTGCTAAATTATTTTACTTTAGCTTAATGTTTGCCACCTAGGATCTGATCAAAACAGGTCATCTTAAAGTCTGAGTTCCTGAAGGCAGTTAGGTTTCTGGAATGTTGCCTTCTCTCCGTGAGTGTTGGCATCTGTAAATGGTCAGACTTATCCAGGCAAGAGTGTGAACTGCATGGTTGGAAGACAGGTCTTGAGATGTACTTGGATTCTGAAAACTGTGGAGGTTGACAGGACTGAAGACCCAGCCTATCAGAGCCCTCCTCCTGTCCCTCCCCACCACCTGCACTCTTGACCTTTCCACAAGATATATGACCCTTCTGTGGGGTCGACAGTTTTAAGAGGGCTGAGAGTCACTAATTCACATTCATTCATTCATATTCTCTCTCTCCCCGCTCCCCGCCACCTGCCCCCCCCCCCACACACACACACACCAGTCAAAAGAAGGAGAGCAAGGAGACCCAGATATTGAAATAAAAAGTGATAAATAGTGGTTATCACTCCTGGAAAAAAAGATTTAAGAAAAGAGCCTCTGTCATGCATGTCATGGGGTGAGGGAGTGTTTTTAAATATACGTATGTCCAACCTAACCTAAGATAACCCTCTACCCTCACCAGGTCACCTGAGCAGCACGTGCTCAACTCTGGAGCAAGCAGCTTTGCAGATACATTTTAGAAAAGGGATTCCTGCATCTTCTCTATCAGAATGCATGATCTCTGGAAAGAACAATTGGCACTTTTTTCTTAGTTCATTCATTTCAAGAAATAAATAAGGAACTGGAAATTGCTGAACACACTGCAGTATGTATGTGTGTATATATACAGCACAAACGTATGAGTGAGGGTTGGTAGAATATAGTGACAGTTGAGGCAAACTGAAAATACAAGTGGTATTTCTTTCTCACTTAAAAAAAAACTGTAAGTTCCATGTTAACTTGGAAAAGGGAACAGGGATGTGTTTGATTTTTTGAAAACCAAATTGTCATATATTTAAAGAAGTCACTTGGGGGAGCAAAGACAATATTCAAACAAAACTATATATTTATTGTTACCTACATGAAGAAATGGTATAGCCTGCCATGTTACATTATGGTCACATTTCTTTTATTTTTTGAAATTAATTACTTGAACCATCTTATGTTTTGTTAACAGAGAGCACAGTAATCCCTTTTTAAGGTTTTCCCAGTCCATCTACTTCCAATTTATCAAAAATCCTGGGTCCTGAACTCAGTCCCAAGAAATTCAAAACCCCAAGCAGAAGACGGGCATACTAACCTGTTCCTGCCTTCCCTGCCCACTGCCTAAAGGAAGATGGCAGTTCATTGCAGCCAGGAAGCCCAGGACATAAGTTGTCACCTTAGTATAGCTTCTGGTGTACCAAGTCATTATTCTCAAAGCAGGAAGACGCCAAGGGGCCAGTACTGGAAGGCTGTCCAGAATCATTCCTAAGTTGTGCTGAAACAGATTCCCTCCCAATTCTCTGAGTTTGTTCATTACACCTAAGTCAACAACCTAAACCGCTGTCCTCCCCAAGTTGGTGACCTGCCAATTTTCTTGGGCTGCCAGCCCAGGTGTGGGCCCCCTTGGAGCTCCCATGGGAATCCCTGTTTCAAACCTTGAGGAAGAGGAGCTGAGCTGTCAGTTCCTTGCCTTATAGAAAGTTCCAGAGCTGAGCTGTCGGTTCCTTGCTTCCCTTTAGGAATTCCAGCTTCCCTTTACAAATTAATGAACTTCCCATGTCCTCCATGCCCTTCTTCTCCCTGAAACCCTACATTTTCATAACTAAAGAAGATCACTGGAGTGATCTGCAGAGCAAAAGGATGAACTATTTCCGCAAGCACTTATTATGTGACTGCCATGTGCCAGAGTTTTAGATGCTAGGAACTCCTCAGCAAACCAAACAGACAAAAATCCATCCCTCCTAGAACTTCCATTCTAGTGAGAGGAAAGATAGACTGTAGACATGATAAGTATAGAAATTGTATATGTTAGGCAATGAGAAATACGGGAGGAGAAAAAAGAACAGATGAGGGGAACCAAAAGGACAGAGTTGTTTCCTTTATGTCTGGGCTATACCACGAAGCAGCTATCAATTATTACATTTAATAAAGATAATTTTTGGCCTCTCCAGGCACCTCCTTTAGTCTATGCATTAACAGGCATCCTATTCCATTAAAGGCTTCACATCTACACTTTATACATTTCAGAGCAGAATCAGAATTATCGTCTACTGTCTTTACCATAATCCATGGAGAGTCCATTTACTGCAGCTTTGAAAACTAAAATGACTTTCTCAAGTTCACACAGCTGTTAAACATTAGAGTGAGGATTCCAATATGGCTCTTTTGATTTCATCATATGATTTTCTCAATGCACTTGTAAAAAGCACAAAACATGAAGCTGGAATAGAGCTAAATTTAGCTGGGAGCTAAAATAGAGACCCAGCATTGCTTCTTACTAGGTATACAAAACCTTGAAATGTTCCCTGCAAACTTAAGACTGGATGTGACTGGGTGCGGTGGCTCATGCCTGTAATCGCAGCACTTTGGGAGGTCAAGACAGGTGGATCATTTGAGGTCAGGAGTTCAATACCAGCCTGGCCAACATGGTGAAACCCAATCTCTACTAAAAATACAAAAAAATAGCTGGGCATGGTGGCGCATGCCTGTAATCCCAGCTACTCGGGAGGCTGAGGCAGGGGAATCTCTTGAACCCGGGAGGTGTAGGCTGCAGTGAGCCAAGATAGCACCACTGCACTCCAACCTGGGTGACAGAGTAAGACTCATCTCAAAAAAAGAAAGAAAGACTGGATGTGAAATTACTTTATAAATCATAAGGCACAGTACAAATGTGAGGCTTTGGGGCAACTCTGCAGGCTGTCTCAAAACCCCACTCACCTATCATCTGTGTGATTCATTAAGTAAATAAATATAATTAAAAGGAGTTATTTTTATAACACACTGCACACAACTCCCAAAGCAATCCTTGCTCAAGTTTGAAAAATTAAAACAGCATATATTTTCTGTCTATAAACTAATTATCTGATTCAAATGGATTCAAAGCAAGCCCACTTCTAAGGTGTTCTCTAAAAGCATGTGCATAATTACAGTACGTGTACTGAAGAAGCACCAACACATGGCCTTTGTGACCAGCCTCTCAGCACTCAGTGTACACAGTGCAAGTGTGGAGAAATGGCCAAGCCTGTGATGGTTCCCAGGGGTGTAGGGGGGGCTGTGAACACCCAGTTGGATTTATTCCTGTTCCAGGTCTCTCCCTCTTTGTTATCCTAGTCATTGGAGAATGCCCACCAGTGAACAGAAGAAAGTGTCACATTGGCCTGCAAGGCAGCTGGTAGCGAGTCCATCAGTCTAAGCTGATAAATAAAACTGAATTTGGCTTAGCAGATCTTAGAAGAGAGATCTTAGGAGGTACAAACTATAAGAGGAGAGGCATACTCTACTTTCTGAAAAGATTCTGAAGCTTCTCTGCCCCATCCCTGTGCTTTTACAAAGGGAATGTTCTTGCCCTAAAAATAAATAAATAAATACATACATACATACATAAATACATAAATAAAAAATAAAAGTGTACCTTCAGAGAGCTGCAAATGTTGCCTTCTCTCTTCTCCCCTGCCACACAGCTACAATCCTGGCTCTGAATCCTAGCTACAATCCTAGCTCTGAACCCATGGTCAGAGTGGGAGACTTTAGAACAAGCAAAGACAGGTAGCTCCTCGGCCATCCACCCAGTCTGGGGATGTGCAAAACTGTCCTATCCCTGCCTCTGAGGCTCCTCACCAAGATTCCAAGGGAAATTGGATTAAACCACCCCCAAAACAAAGATAATGAACCTAGGTTCAAAATGAAGGGAGTGAGGAAGTCTCATTTTCAGGAGGAAAGATAGAGAATGAACCAAGACAGAAATGAAATAACTTCAGGAGTAAATAAAAAGGAGATGAAGGTTGGGTGTGGTGGCTCATGCCTGTAATCTCAACACTGTAGGCAGCTGAGGTGGGAAGATAACCTGAGCCCAGGAGTTCGAGACCAGCCTGGGTAACGTATGGAAATCTCTACAAAAAAAAAATAAAAGTTAACCAGGTGTGGTGACACATGCCTGTAGTCCTAGCTATTTGGGAGGCTGAAATGGGGGGATTGCTCAAGCTCAGGAGTTTAAGGCTGCAGTGAGCTATGATCTTGCCAGTGTACTCTAGCCTGGACAACAGAGCAAGACCCCATCTCTGAAGAAAAAACAAAGAT